GGAGGAGGAGGAGGAGGAGGAGGAGGAGGAGGTCATCAGAGGTAGAGGTTTGGGCTAGCCTTTTCCAGAAGGGCCGAGCTTCCCAGAAGACTCTGTATCCAAAAGAGGACTCTTAATCCTGCCTGGAAGGTACAGGTGGTGCTGCTTGGGCACTGAGCTCCAGTCACACGCTGTCCTTTACAGCATCTACCCTGTGGACTGGTAAAACACTCAACATTTGGTGGACATTCCTGTAATACCATTTTTACTGTTTTTCATAAAATAATAAATGCTCACTAGCAAAACTAGAAACCAAAAAGCATAAAAGGAGGAAATGAAAACAATACTTATTCTTTTAATGAGGAGACAGAAAAGCAACAGTAAAAAATCTAAGTACATTTCACTCACAGGAGACAGCTTAACACCATTACCCAGGCAACACAATATGTAAAGTTATTTGTCCAGTAGCCGGGCGTGATGGCGCACGCCTTTAATCTCAGCACTCGGGAGGCAGAGGCAGGCGGATCTATGTGAGTTCAATGTCAGCCTGGTCTACATAGTGAGTTGCAGGCCAGCTGGGGCTACAGGGAGACCCTGTCTCAAAAAGACCAAAAAAAAAAAAAAGAAGAAGAAAAGTTATTTGTTGAGCATGGAGGCTCTGCTCTGAAGACAGTTTCCGCACTCTGGCCCTGTCAGCCATATGCTTGCAGATTTGCTGTTCGTACCCAAAGCAAACCTAAGGTGCATGAAGGGCGATTTCCCCGGAAAGCCACAGTCCTAGCACGGCTGCTGTCTGGCAGAGCCTGGACTCTCACATCTCCTAGCCCCTGTACACAGCACGGGTGCTGTTCTTACTGGACAGATGATAAGGCAAAGTTGTATCCTTATAACTTACTATAGTCTTATATAAAGTCCTTGTAAGCTTAGGCCATTTGAAATTTCCTTGTGTTTTACTCATGAAGCAGATAGCTTAACACGCAACCCTGTGGTATTTCACTACTCAGTGATACCCTGAAGCTCTGTAAGGCTCCCACCCACCATGTGTGACTGCTGACATAGAGGTGTAAATAGGAAAATGGAAAGTTCACCAAATGGTTTGATGAAGCACCTGGTCCAATAGCCCAAGAAAAGTGTAGATCGAATGTGTCAGACATCTAAACTTCTGCCAATAATATCTGGTTCTGTAAACTGCAATGACTGTTGACTAATTCCTAGCTCAACTAACCGGGCCTAGCTATAGATCAAAAGGGGGAAGATGTCCTGACCCCTGCCTGGGATGTCTACCTTTATAAGCTATAATGATCAGGTGAACTCAGGAAGGAGATTTCTTGAGATACCATGACACATCGAAGTAAAGAGACATAGGACCTAGGTGTCAGTCATAAAATGATGGCATAAAAGATCTATTTAACCCCCATCTGTGCTTCTGTTCAAGGCTCAGAGAATCCTGAAGTCTTTGTTGTTACTTCTGGGACCTCATGCATGAGAAAGAATAAACAAACTTTCTGAATCTCCTGCTGAGTGCTTGATCACTTAGCTGTGCACAGGAAATGGATGTGCACAGAGTTAAGCCTGGTTTCTCAGTAGCCAAAATAAAATAGCCCCACCGAATAAGTCATCTAACTATAGGGGATCAGTTGCACATTAACTGGAAAAAACATTGTGGCTCTGAAAGTTCAGTTGGGCTCAAGCGTCTGTCAGTCTGTCTTACCAGAGGCAGTGCAGCCCAGCCCTCCACGCAGAGGTGACAGTGTCAGCAGCTGACCAACTGCAAAAGGCTGACATGCTCACTGATTCCAGGGAAGGAAGCACCTGCCCAGCACCACTGGCAAGCACCTGGTGTCAGTACTGGCAGGGCAAAGAGCAACATGCCCATCCTCAGGAGCCAGAGCCAGCACCGAGCCAAAGAGATGGGAGTCCTGGGTGGCATGCTTCACTTTCTGGGCAATCTGGATAACACTGCCCTCCTCCTCCACCGGCACATCTCCAGAGGGCCTGCCACACACCAGGGCTGCACTGGCCCCAGGGCATGTTTTCCAGTGTTTCAGCCATCACCACTCTGCCCTATCCAGCAGATAATACCACGGAGCCTGCCTTGCACCCAGCCCCTCCACATCCAGGATTAGCACGCACACCAGCTACAGAGAAAACTTCACTACCTCAGAGGAATGGACGGCAGGAAGGCAGGAGACTCGGTGCAGCTAGGAATGGAGTTTCCTGCAGGAACTCTGTGCAGAGGCCCGCATTGACCCTGGGCTGGCATGTTCTACTCTGAGTTTACTCACAGCTGAAGAGATACAGGAGGAATAGCAATTGATGTCTAGTGTTACTACAGGTGAACCCCTTCCTCGACAGCACCCCTATACTCAGTGATCAGCATGTTCCTGAACGAACTCTTGCAGCACCTCCTGGGACCCCTGTGTCACCACACTGAGGGCACACTCAGAGCCATCAGGGCCGGCCCTCAGACTTTGCCATCAGCTCTCCAGGCATCAAGGGCTCTTCCCGGATCCACTCTGGATTCCAGGAGCTGGCTCTCCACTGACTCCAGGCAAGCCACTCTCTCAATCTAGGTAATGGCTTTCGACAATTGGGCCATCACCTCACCAGCCTCCTCACCTTCTGCAGCTAACCTCAGCTGCCCCGGGCTTGTCACACTTCATGCCTCTCCTTTACACATCTCCCTGCTCTGTGCTCTGCAAGCCAGTAAGTCACCATTCAGAGTCCAGCACAAACGTCCCCTCGGTCCGGTCATTTAAAGTGCATTCCTCTCTTCCCAGCGCCATGGCAATGACTCCATGGAGGCCGTGTGGGTGCGCAGGGTCCAGCGAATGCTCTCAAGGGGCTGCTCAGTGAGTCTGAGAGCCCTTCTCCCTGGTTTGCCCGCCTCTCGGCCTGCCCCTCACCTGCTGGGTCCGCAGCGCGTCCAGCTCCCTCTCCAGCCAGGTCCTCAGCCTGCGCTCCATCTGCTCGCGCTTCTCGCACGCCGACTGCAGCTGCGTCAGGGCCTGCTGCAGCTTCTCAACCTTATCCACGTAGGCTTGCTTCTCTCGTAGCTGAGGAGACAGCGAAACACAGCAGAGCTCAGGAATGTGACGGTGGCAGCTGGGCGCAAGGCGAGCACCCAGCTGCGTCCCTCGGAGTGCTGGGACAAAGCCCGTGTACCGCAGAGCGGCCAGGAGCCTTAGGTGGGGGGCCCTCCCGGGCACCTGCTTTGGGGGGTCAAAACAGCTTTGCGCTCCCTGCTTGGTTACTGCTTAGTAATTATAGCATTTGAAGCCACTGGAACTGAGGTTAAGACTTTTCAGCATCATAAAGAAATCCTGTCCCAGGCATGGTGGTGCACATGTTTAATTCCGGTACTGGGGAGGCAGAGGCAGGCAGGTCTCTATGAGTTTCAGACCAGCTTGGTCTACAGACTGAGTTCCAGGTCAGCCAGCGTTACATAGCGAGATCCTGTTTTAAAAGAATTTTTAAAGAAAAGAAAGAAAAAGAAATGAATAATCCTGAATAAAAAAAGTTTTTCTATCATCATAATCTGTCTACCTATGCATTGATCCATGAAAAAGACAGCCTTAAAGCATTTACCATGTTTATCTGTGGGGCAAAATAGCAATTTCCGGAAAAAGAATAAGAAATGTATCATTTTCTGTATTTTGATTGTTCTATAGTAAATAAAAGTTACAGAATAATAAATACTATATGATAAATATATCACATAACTAACAAAATAATACATATAAAATTATTTCTATAATAGAGAAATTGTGCATGTTTGTATGGCTTTGTATGCATGTGTCCTCATTTGTATATTTGTGAATGAATTTAAGATTTTATTATAGCTGTTTTTGGAGTAACTCTCCTTATAGCTGAGCAGCTGATGGCCCCGTGGAGGCAGGAAGGACACAGTGAACACGCAGCACAATGGCCAAGGACTTGGAAATGAACATTAGAATGACTGTGAACATATCATGAGGTACAGATTTACCGTCATGATGTGTAATGTCAAATCTAATCCTCCACACTCGCTGTTCTCTGTGCTGGGAGTCTGGTCCAAGTTTGTAAATCCAGGTGCAGGTCTAGCCTCCTGGGAATCATCTGGTACCAAAAAATCAGGCTGAAATGTTTACTGGATCTGGTGCTCGGTGAGAGGACAACCGTTGCTGTCTCCTGTCTCTGTACCTGGGTGAGCAGATGCCTTCCAGTGACTCAATCTGCACTGTAGCACCCTCTCACAGCAGGCAGCAATGTGTCCGGGTCTGACAGCTTGTTGCTAAGGGAGGCTTCAGGCCCAGCTGGCAGTGTGACTCTGTCACATCTGAGTCCTTTTCCCATTGCTCCAGGAACTTTATAGAAATTTCCACACCTGACTGGGATCTTTGTGTATCTGAACTTTCATTCATGGAGCTTGATGGCTCAGTTCAATTTTGCAGGATTTTGAGGGCCTACTAAGTGCAGGACCCCACAGTTCTTAGAGATCTCTTTGGAGCAAATGTCTCCTTTGTACCATTCACACACCACTTACCATGTTCCACTGTGTGCCAGTTTTCTGATTGTACAGCCACTAGGATATAACCACTGTGAGATTTGTTCACTTGTGTCCCTGGCTGCACAGAGTCAGTCCTGTGTCCCCAGTACATGAGGCAGTAACTGGCATCCGACAGCTACTCCATATGCACTTGTTAAGCTAAGGAGTGCCATCCCCAAGCAAATGCAAGATCCGTGAATGTATGGATCTGTCCCCCCCTCTGCGTTAGCATTAAGTCGGACAAGGAGAATTTCACAGTGAGAACAAATGGGCTGAAAGCAAGTTGTCTGAAGTCCAAGGCACCGTAGAGCAGCTCCAGTCAGCCAAGGGGGCACATAGAAAGACAACAGGAAGCACCGCAACGGTGGTTAGGAAGAACTTCAAAGGCTCGAAACTGACTTTTACTTTTATAAGGAATATTAAAACTAAAGAAAGGGCTGGCAAGATGACTTAGCAGGTAAAGGAACTTTGCCACACAAGCCTGGAGACCTGAGCTCAATCCCCAAAACCCACATCAGAGAGGAAGGAGAGATCTGACTCCATGAAGCTGTCCTCTGACCTTGGCACATGTCCTCCCCACTCTACATCATCTGCACACAATAATAACACATTTTAGAATTAAATTAGAATTTTCCTCAGCTGTACACTCGGAGATGGGGCCTCAAGAAGCCATGTCAGGGAGGACAATACGGAGCGCAGACCTCCTGTCTTCAGGGCTAAGGCCACATTCTAACATCACAACTAAGATACTGAGGGCCCGCCCAGGCCTTGCTTCCTCAGAGCAGATCTGTCTGCAAGGTTAAAGGCATGTTCTGTGATGACAAGAAGGGTTCTCTGAGCTGTTGCCTGGGAGCCTCCTGTTGGTATTAAAATCAGTTTTTACTCGGGACCTGTGGGGCTTAAAATTCATGAAAGGGAGCCAGATATGATGGTACACACCTTTAATCCCAGCACTCGGGAGGCAGAGGCAGGCAGATTTCTGTGAGATATAGGCCAGCCTGGTCTACATAGCAAGTTCCAGGCTAGCTGGGACTAAAGAGAAACCCTGTCTTTAAAAAAAAAAACAAAAAACCAAACCATAAAGTGCACATAAGGGGCAAAGCCCTTGTTTACATAAAAGCCCGACTGCAGCCGGGGCTCAGATTCTCTCTGGAGGGACCTTTTTTTTGAACAACAGAATTGGCAATGAATATTGCAGGGTCAAGCATGGAGCTGAGTAGCAACAATCTGTTGCTGTGGCTCCACCTCCCAGTACCTAAGCCCTAGGACAGTGCCTGCTCAGGCAGCCCTGTAACAGAGATGCCAGGCACCCTGCAGGGAGCCACAAGGTGAGGGTGTGGCCCTAAGGGGCCAGCGACAGCCTAGCCCAATCTCAGACACAGTCCTGATTCCTCCCTTGGGATTAAAGGGACAGTCAGTGCTCAACTCACAGCACTTAAATTAAAGAGATGATTTCGTCAGAAACTATTAAATCTGTCATGCTAGGGGAGTGTCAACATTTCCCAGATTAGGGGTGTGAGGTACATCACTGCCAACCTGGAGATGGAGGTGGATCTTCTGAGCACCAGCCCCACCCTACCCCATAAACCCTTTGCCTTTTTTCATGCAATTGAATACCAAAAGACACAATCATTTTGTTCCGGAATTGTTGGTCTGGATTGCATGGGCACCAGTGGCTTTCAATCCTGCCATTCCTTTACAACCCTGGACATTTGCTCACCATCAGGCAGCAGGCTGTGGACTGATGGCCCATGCTATTAATACACGCCTCTCAGATTCTGCCCGGCTCCATGAAGGATAAACCTGCTATTAGTCATTTGCACTTGGGCAGTTTTCCACAACCCTCCCCTGACGTGGGTTAAAGTGACTGGGTCAGGAACTTCAGGAACAGCCCTCAGGGCTCTGCCCCGCCCCCAGGCTGGTCTCACCTCCTCCTCCAGTTTGATCACTCTCGCCTGGGCATTGCTCAAGGCCTGGTCCAGGATCTCGATGTGTCTTCGATGGTCTTCGCTCGCGGTCCGCACTGCCGCTAACTCCATTTCCAACTTTTCCTTTTCCTTCAAGATTTCTTTGTCTGGGGACAGAACAGAATCAACTCCATGAGCAGGTGCTCAGTCTCTGGGTCGACTACCAAGCAAGGACTGAAATAAAAACAGGTGAAATGGCAGCGATTGGATGGCTGCTGCTCCTTCATGGCAGGTGAGGACTTTCTCAAATCTACTGTTAACCCAACAGGTCACAGCATGGGGTGGCGGCGGGCAGTGGGAGAGACAGCACTTTCCCAGCATGCACAAGGTCCTGAGTTTGATCCCAGAATTCCAAGGGCGGGGCACACACCCAAGAACCAGCAGCTCCACATTCTCCAGAACGCACCTCCACAACACTAATATCTCTCATTAGTCTTACACATTTTTAATTTTATGCTCATGACCTTCTTGACCTGCAGCTTCCAAGCCTCAGATGCACCATTTGCAGTGATACTAAAGTTCTCATTCACAGGACAGTAAACCAAGGTCCAGAGGGATGGCTCATTATATATGTGTGTGTGTGTGTGTGTGTGTGTATGAGTGTTTTGCCTGCATGTATGTAAGTGCACCCATATGTGCAATGCCTGAAGAGGCCAGAAGAACTTGGAACTAGACTCATGGATGGTTGTTAGCCACCAGGTAGATGCTAGGAACACAACCCAGATCCTCTGTGAGAGCAGCCAGTGCTCTTAACCACTGAGCCACGATGGCTCTGCCACTCCTGTCTGCAGCCCCACTCTCTTCTATGGCAGGCCCCACCCACATTTTCTCCTGGACCTGTCAAGAGGAGCGCTGCTTTGGGTTTAAGAACACAGCTTTTCCTTTATTCAGTAATAACGCAACTGATAGTGATCATGCCCACTTGTCCTCTACAGACTTCTCATAAAGTCTGTAAAAGCAATACTTTTTCTTTTCTTTTTTCAAAATATTTTATTATTTTTATTTTATGTGTGTGAATGTTATGCCTGCATGTAGGTAACTGCACCTGTGTCATGCAATGCCCGCAGAGGAAAGAAGAGGCTCTCGGATCCCCTGGAACTGGAGTTACAGACAGTTGTTAGCTGCCATGTGGGTGCTGGGAATCGAACCCGGGTCTTCTGCAAGAACAGTCAGTGCTCTTAACTGAGCCATCTCTCCAGCCTCACTTTTTCATTTTTTTAAATAAATAAGTCCGGGCGTGGTGGTGCACGTCTTTAATCCCAGCCCTTGGGAGGCAGAGGCAGGCAGTGCTCTGTGAAATCAAGGCTAGCCTGGTCTACACAGCGAGTTCCTGACCAGCTTGGGCTACAGGAAGACCCTGTCTCAAAAAGACAAGCAAATAAATAAATAAATGATTTAGATATGCTGTCTATAGTATGAAATTACTTGAACAAATTTGATGTGAAGGGTAAGGAAGCCAGGCCGGTGGTACAGGCCTATAATCCCAGCTACTTAGGCAGATGAGGCAGGAAGATCACAAGTTCATCAAGACCTAACTGGGTTACAGGGACTTCAAAGCTAGCCTGGGCAACTTAATGAAATCTGCCTCAAAACAAAAAGCCAATGGGGCTGGAGAGGTGGCTCAGCAGTTAAGAGCACTGACTGCTCTTCCAGAGGACCCAGGTTCAGTCCCCAGTACCCACATGGCACCTAATACCCATTCAGTTCCAAGGGATCCAGCGCCGCCTTCTGGATTCTGTGGGTACTAGGCAACCAAGTGGCACACTGACATACATGCAGGCAAAACACTTAATATACAAAAATTAAAAATAAATAAAATCTTAGCTTCCCAGCACTCAGGAGGCAGAGGGAGGTGCATCCCTGTGAGTTCAAGGCTAGCCTGGCCTACAGAGTGAATTCCAGGCCAGCTGGGACTACAGGGAGACTCTGTGTCAAAAAAAAAAAAAAGGCAAAATTCAAGGCTGGAGACATGGCCCAGGAGTTAAGAGCACTGGCTGCTCTTGCAGAGGACCTGGGTTTAGTTCCCAGCACCCACATGATGGCTGACAACCATCTGTGACTCCAGTTCCAGGGGATCCAATGCCCTCTTCTGACCTCTGTATGCACTGCATGACACAGGTGCACTTAGGTGCACTTACGTACGTGCCGGCAATACACTCATACACATAAAAAAAAATAATAAATAAAATATCTTTTTAAGAAGAGTAGCCAGGAGTATTGCAAGATCCCTTTAAACTATTAGCATCCGCTGTAACCCCAGCTGGCCTACCACTCCCTATGGAGACTAGGCTGGTCTTGACCTCACAGAGAGCCTTCCTCTGCCTCCTGAGTGCTGGGACTAAAAGCATGCGCCACCACGCCCAACTTGACTGAGCTACTCCTGCAACTGCAAGTTATATCGATGGGATCCAAGGGCCAAGACCCCACTTCTGAGCAGACGGAAGTTACAGACGACACAGCTAAGGGGAAATGAGCCAGACCTAGTTACGGTGACCCTCCCCCAGAAGACAGCTCCGCTGTGGGCTCCCCGCCCATTGCAGTGATGAACAGCCTTCCTCCGTTCCCTTCGCAGTGGCATTGAAAAGCTGCCTGTCAGCCTTCCATCTGCATCCATGGAAAACGGGAGCACACGAGTCCTGAATAAGTGGGTCAGTGGCCACTGCTAGCTCTGGCCCGGCTGCCCACAGCCCCAAGTAGATTTCAGCACTACATTCTTTCTGTTCCAACTCACAGACACCCAAGAGCAAGCTCCCTGGGTCGGAACTTCATTTCTAAGGACATGGGGCCCCCCAGCCTTGTCCTGCTCCAGAGACCACAAGGGGTCACTAAGCAGGCACACTAGGGTCTGTACCACTGGATCCCAGAGCATCATCTGGTCACAAGTCTAAGCATAAAGATTCCCTTTCTTTATTTAGGCACCAGCTACATATTACTTTTAATCTGCAGCAGTAAAGTGGCAGCCTAAGCCCACTACAAACATTGCTTTTTAGGTTTTGCAAATTAATGATTGCAATTATTGCTGCGTTACAATGGCTGATATCCAGATACAATTCAGAGTTAACCAACATCCTTCCCCTCCAACACACACACACACACACACACACACACACTATTCACAATAGCCAAGTTTGGAGTCGGCCCAGGTTTTCATTAACAAGTCAATGGATAAAGAATGTGGCGCAGGGGCTGGAGAGATGCTCAGCAGTGAAGAGCACAGGCTGCTCTTGCAGAGGACCCTGGTTTGGGTCCCAGAACCCACATGGCAGCTAACAATCATCCGTAACTCCAGTTCTAGGGAATCTGACACCCTCTTCTGATCTGTGGGCACTGCACAACATGGTTGCACTTGCCTACATGCAGGCAATACATTCATACATATAAAATAAAAATAAAAAAAAAGAAAACATCGTATATAGATTCGACGGCGTACTATTCAGCCATATAGAACAAAACTTTTGTTGTTGCAGGAGAATGGATGGAACTGGATAGCTCGTTGTGGTCAGCAAAACAAGGCAGTCCCACAAACACACAGAGCGTGTTTTCTCTCATCTGTGGAATCTAGATTAAATGGGACATGAATGCAAACGGAGGGCGGGGCAAAGAGAAACAAGACAGTAGTGGGAGGGTGTACACATGATCACAGTGTGTTATATACATGTATGAAGGTGCCATAATGACAACCATTATTTCATACAATTAATACATACTAATAAAATAACCTTTTAAAAGTTGGGCTGATGAGGTGGCTCAGCAGGTAAAGGTGCTCGCCACCAAGCCTGACAAACTGAGTTTAATCCCCGGGACTCACAACTCACATGGTGAAAGGAGAGAACTGACTCCTGCAAGCTGTTTTCCAATCTCCACACATGCACTGTGGTACACACGCATCTCCACATATAAATGAATAAAGTCATTGAAAACGCTTAAAATATCAATAAAATAAAAAAAGAGAGCTGCATATGACAGCTCACACCTATGATTCTTGGGAGGTGAGGGCAGGAAGATCATCATGAATCCATGACCAGGCTGCGTTACACTGCAAGACCCTGTCTAAAACAAACAATTACTACAGAGACAGCTGGGGGGAGGAGGGGGGAGGAGAGAGAGAGAGAGAGAGGCAGAGAGGCAGAGTCAGAAAAAAAGAAGAGCTAGATTCAAATCCTAGGTCCACCACTTTAAAACGGCAAGGCCCGAGACAAAGCATTTGGCCTCTCCAAGGCCCCTTCCCCCACCCATCAGGAGGAAATGGTAACTCCTACACCCCAGTGTGGTTGTGATCCTCTGTTTCTGAGATAACACCCACCAAGGTTTGCAAAGGACCTGAACTGCTGAAGCTTTATCTCTGGGTCGTTACTGTTGACTGAATAAACGAGTTTCCATCATTCAACATGTTCAATGCCAACTGCAGTGAATCATAACTTGCCAGCTTTGAGCCACTCAGCATCTCTGTCACCAGACATCCACCACACCGTCACTCAGTGGCCTGGGGGTGATCCCCAGGGATCTGCGTGTCCTGCCTCCCCAGCACTGGGATTACAAACATGAGCCATTATGCTTTGCTTTTTTATGTGCGTTCTGAAGATGGGACTCAGGTTCTCATACTTGTGAAACAAGCAGTCACCAGCCGAGCCATCACCCCAGTGCCATGACACATTTTGGGACACACTCAGGGAGAGTTTCCTAGGTGACTCCGCCTCACAGGAAGTCTCCCTCCGTTTCATTTTTAGCTAAGCTCTTTAAGACAGGTCTCAAGAAAGGCAGCTTTGCATTCAAGTCTTGGCTGGACGCCAGTGTATATACTGAGAATTCCTAGAACAGGCACATTGACACAAGGGACTCTTGCCCAGAATGGTCTGTTTACTCAGTGGATATGAGATGCCCAGAACTGAGGGGACTGGGGCTTATTTAGCCTGGTGGTTCTGGTCTGACACTGGAGGATGTTTGTTCCTACACTGTTTACTCTGGAAACCACAGCCCTGCCACAGGCTCTGAAGCCAGGCCAGCCTGGTCTGAATCTGGCGCCTCTATATACTGGCTGACTTTGAACATGTGACTTCACCTACTGGATACTCCATTCCATCAAAGGAAAAGAACAAGACATATTTTG